GGGATGGCTGTTGTCAAAGTAAAACATTTCCAGAGAGGAAAAAGGAGCTAGTTCATTTGCATTAGCTAATTAGGAAAAAAAAATATTCCTACTGTTCTCTTGTGTTTTTTCTTTTTCTTACTACACTTCTTACTTGTCCTCTAATGTTAAAATCAGAAATTGCATGTAGTGCATGGGTGAAAAATGAAAGATTTAATACACTATTTGTCAGTAAATCTAAGCCCTTAAATTCAACCCTCCAAAATCAGATGAAATCTGTGCAGGTTACCAGGAGAATGGGGTTGAAAAAAGGAAGGGCTGAGCTGCTTGCTAGGAAAGGGGAAATTGTGTGCTACAGCTGCTCAGATAAGCACAGGGAGCTTCTCATCCCACAGCTAGGGCCATATGTGTGCACATACTTTGAGGCATTTATTTTCTATAAGATTCTTTTGAGTAATATTTCCTGAGAGGAAATGATAGAATTTAAATATATTTGCTTTAAAAACATGCTCCTGATTTTTGCAGTTGAATTAGAAAAAAATTTGTAGGGGTGTGGAGTAAAGAATGAAATTAATGTGCATTATTTCAATGGAAAACAAAGGCAACTTTTTTATTCTAAGCTAGAAATTTTCCCAACATTTTGTCTTTATGGTTATGTGGTATTTTTTTCTGAAGGGGTCAGATTCTAAGCCAATAGTAGCTGCTGCTGCCAATTTCAAACTTGTTACTAGAAGTGTGAGGATAATTTGTATGATTTTACTTTTTCCTGTATTTTAGGGATAGAGCTGATTTGTAGATAAGAGTCATTAAATAATGGAGTGATTTTTCTAAAAGTTATAGAAAAGCTGACTTACAGTTCCTTCCTTTCTCTCTTTTGTCTTACTTCACTACAAGGTCTGTGTCTAATCAGCTCTCAATTTTGAAATATACAATAGAACCTTTGTAAGTTGATCACCCCAGGGTCTGTAACAAACTGGTCAAGTCAACATACAGAGGTGGTCAACATAAGGAACTAGGCCTCATGTACTGATACGTACATGTGGTGCATGTCTGGTCTGTGAGAATTAAGTGAACTTAAGGAGGTGGTCAAAGATGGAGGTTCTACTGTAATTATGTTGAATTTGGTTCATTTTACTAAGCTGACATTGTAGATCATTTTGTTGTGTTAATGTGCTTTTTTTGTGTATATCGCAGTGATATTTGTCCTCATGGGACTTGATCAGTTGGTTTTAAATTGAAAGGGTTACTATTCAGCTAAAATTGTTAAATAATGAATTTGAGTTCTCTCTTGATTCTTTAACTCAACACATTGCTGGTATCCTCTTGACTATCACAATAGAAGCATCCAAAGTTGCTTTTGTCCTCCATAGGGAGATATCAACTTGATCCCCATTTCATGGGTTTAAAACAAAGTCCTCAGCCTAATTTTCATGATTTTATTTTTTTCATCTGAATCATGGTTACTTAAGTGGTGTTGGCGCTGTTCAGTGGCAGGCTTTGCTAAGTGTGTTGCATAAAACCAGTCAGGGTTTTGGTCAGAGAACATTTAAAGGTGCTCACCCCAGGTTATGCCCCATCAATATTCTCCTTAAAGAATTCCCTCTCCCTCATGTTCTCTCTTTGAATTACAGCAAATGATAGAAATATAAATCCCAGAGGAATATTCTGGGCATCTAGGAAACATGCAAAGTATTTTTTTTAAATCCTATTAAGATAAAATTTTCATCTTACTGTGACCCACTTTTGTTTGTTTTTCATCAAAAAGATATTTGTGTGGTGTGTGTCTCAAAGTTGAAATAAAGGCACAGGGATTAAAACTTGCGAATTCAATTTCTGGTGTACTGTATAACTGTAAAATGCATTCTTATTTTTACTTCTTGTCTAGAAAATTGTGTAGAAGATAAAAACTCTCCCTTTTAGAAGGTCCGATATCTACATGGAAAAAGCCTGAGTCCTCAGAGGAGCAGATGCTATCTCTGTGAAACAGAAAATTATAATATTATTCACAGAATGCTACTAATATTTATATTAAACGTAAAAGTAAAAAATTATTGTAATAATTCTATCCACTGGACAAAAGAATTCTAGTGTCTACCATAATAATACCTTATTGCCTTTGTTAAATCCAAAGATTGTGACTTTCATGTCTTTCTTTTTCAGGTAAAAAGTGTGCTTTCTAATGTAATATACTACTAGGACCTTTCTTTATTTAGAAACATGTTTTTAGTTGGTTTCCATTAAGAATTATTTCCCTCCCCCTTTTTTTTTTTTGGTTGTGTGCAGTGGCTCAGCCCTGTAATCTTAGCACTCTGGGAGGCCGAAGTTTAGGAGTTTGAGGCCAGCCTGAACAAGAGGGAGCAACATCTCTACAAAACAATAGAAAAATTAGCAGGCATGATGGTGCATTCCTCTAGTTCCAGCTACTCAGAAAGCTAAGGCGGGAGGATTGCTTGAACCCAGGAGTTTGAGGTTGCAGTGAGCTCTGACAATGCCACTGCACTCTAGCCTAGGCAACATGGTGAGATTCTGTCTATAAAAAAAAAAAGAAAAAGAAAAGAATTATACTATTTTTTAAAAAATTGAGATGAAAAAGGTAAATATATTCTGATCACTGGCCTTCCTAGAAAATATGACGCTGTGCTGGTCTTTTTATTATACTTTTTAATGAATAGTGGGTACTTTCAGCAAATTTTAAGGCTTATTGTGGACTATAATTATTATTTGTTGTGTGTTAAACTAATTGGGTTGAATACTTTTTGTGTGCTTTTGTTCTGTTCATCATAGAAATTGTAGGTTATTCATCTCAAGTGAATGAATTTTAAATTATTTAAATTTTGCACTATTAGCGTATGACCCTCTGAGATTGTTTTTAAAGAACAGAGAGCCCTTTTCCCCCAGCCATTAGGGGTTTAATTTGTTTTGGATACGAATTATATTTATCTAAAAAAAAAAAAAAAAAAAAAAAATGATTCTCTTATACTTTGATAGATTTTCTAATTTTTTTAAACAAGCATATTTGGAAATTGTGATAGCTCAAGACAAAATAGCTTGAGCCTTTTAAATCTCAATGGATTAACACTAACTATCTTCCCATGTAGTTTAAATGCGTAAGTGTAATCTATGCAATTCGTAACATCTATCCCAGAACAAATTTGTACTTTCTTTTCAAGGACTCTGAAATTTCAAATATCTCTCTCTTTCTTTTACTCAGGAACAATCTGCAACTTATTTTTCTCCAGGAAAATTGAATCTGTTACTGCTTAGTTTTCCTACCCGTTCAAAAAATGTGGTCTATATTGGCATCAGAACAGTAATTTACATATATTGGGATAACAAAAAATGCATGCCAGAAAAAGATCAACATAAAATGAAATGCAGAAAAGCTGTTTTCCTTCAACAGCAACTCCAAGTCAAGTTAATCGAGAGGTTGATGAACATCTGCCCTGAATGTGTCACTTGTTACTCGTAGGTGAAGTGTGACCAGTACTGGCCCAGCAGAGGCACAGAAACCCACGGACTGGTCCAAGTGACGCTGCTGGATACGGTGGAGCTGGCCACGTACTGTGTTCGAACATTTGCACTTTACAAGGTTCGCTTTTTATTTTTTTTTTCCTTCCCTCTCCCCTCTCCATTATTTAAAGAAAGCTCCTTGTGAGAAATCAAATCTCTTAAGGCTTTACTTAAATCTTGATTCCACTGGCAAGAGTGAAGAATGAAATAATTCTTCCATTATTGCTGAGCAATTTTTCTTCTTGTCTGGCAATTTATCAGTAAATATAAAACTCTTTCTCTGAACAAAAGTTTCAGCGAATGAAGAATAGATGAAGAGGAACTAGTTCTTCCGTAAAATGTAATAGGAGCACTCCTGATAGTCAAACCTGAAAAATGTAATGCTGCCTACCGAAGAATTTTATCTTCCTGAGCAAATATTTGTCATTTACGAATAGCTTGGGGTATATATCTCAAAGACTGTGTCTTCCCAAAGGATATAGGGAGAGGAGGAAATTAAGATCGGCCATTTAGTGTTACCTCTTCCGTGTTATTCATCATTACCACCTGAGGCTGGGAAAATGGAATCTCAGCCCCTGTTCCTATTTCACAGAATGGTTCAAGTGAGAAGAGAGAAGTGAGGCAATTCCAGTTCACCGCCTGGCCTGATCACGGTGTTCCAGAACACCCTACCCCTTTTCTAGCTTTCTTACGGAGAGTCAAAACCTGTAACCCACCTGATGCGGGTCCCATGGTGGTGCACTGCAGGTAAGGACCATCAGGAGTGTTTGTTTTACTTGTAAGTCGGAAGGTTTTCCAGGAAATGGAAAGCTAACTTGTTTCTTGCTGATGTTCGCTTTGCAACATGTTGATACTGTGGGGTAGTAAATGGCTTTCTAAGTGATACAGATCCCTCTTGGTCAATTGAGGCGTATCCTATACTAACTAAGGTCAGTAGGAAAGATTTAATAGAAGATGGTAGGCAACTATAGCCCATTACTGTTTTCTCTTTGGGGTGAAAATAAACAGATCAGCACAGCATGAAGTGTGCACATGGCCATCAATATATAAAACAGAAAGGAATAAAGAATTAACCTTGTTAGTTAGGGTCAAGTTTCATGTCCTATGTGGGGGTATATTTTTAAAAATTTATTTATATGAATTGTTTCACAAGTTCTTGTGGCCTGCACTGATACATTTTTACCATTTATCGAAAAATATTCCAAAACAAAAGAATATAATCACACTGTCAGGGAAAATGTCTTATTGCTTAAAGATGCCTTCTGTGCATTGATAATACCAAATTACATATGAAAAACACACTAATGTGATTTTTAAAAATTTATTTAATGAAACCTATACAAAGCCCTATAATTTGGAAGAAGTTATTTTATATACTTGGAGAGGAAGAATGAGTCTATATTTCTCTTGAAATGTGTAATTTACATCTTTTACTTAATTCCGACTAACATTTTTCATATCACCACCCAGATTCTACTATATAAAGTATATACGTTTGTAATGTTAAACTAATTTCTTCTCGTTGCCTTGAGTGCTTCTCAAGCCTCATTATTAACAGACTGCTCAAGCTATCTAGTCAGATTCCATTTATTACTATACAGATGTGTAGTTCATATAACTTCATAACAGTTCTTTATAACCTGAATGATTCAAACATGAGAAAATATGGCTCCTTGTGCAGATAAGTAAAATTGAAGTGTGGAAGTATATAAAAAAGACAAGCAAGCATGTATCACAAACTACTTCTCTCATGACTTACTACCCTAACTCTTTTCCATACCACATACGGTAGCATAATGCAACAGAACCTCGAAAGGGGGCTTTGCACAAAGATGGAGACAATGGATAGATTAGAATAGAAGCAATAAAATGTACCTGGCCAATTCATGCTACAATGGTAATTACGAAATAATGGCCTCGAAAATTACAAACAAAATAAAATTTCTCTTTTCCAGCAAATGTTTTCTCTAATAAAAACCAATAATAACATTACCTTGTATTCATATGGAATATTTTACTAATTTCAAAGCCTTTGCCATGCTTTATTTTGTGTGATGTTTATAACAACAGTGTGTCAGGTCATGAGAAGTGTGAGTGAGAGGCTACAGAGTTTGGTTCACGTCCTAGTAGCTAAGACTAAGTAGTATAATTGGCCTCATACCTTGTTACCTAGTTCTGACATCCCCGTACCTAGAACAAGGTCCCTTGAGGACTGGCCTCTTCATCATAGTTTGCTGCATCATTGTGAAACACTAGAAATTATTTGTATTAAATTAACCAAGTGCTTTTGCATTCACAAAACCAGATTTCTGGTTCTCCCTCCTGTTGATCTAAAGATCAGACCCGTGTTTGACCAGTCTGTATACTCTGTTATTAAACACTTCACATGTCTCGAAGACCCAATGTACCTGGTGATGTGGTATGCCCACTTGGGGAGAGCTGAACGGGACTATAAAAACCACACATGAAACACATTATATGTTTTCAGATGAAGTTTGGCCAACGGATAAATAAGCAGAAAATTTGAACTCACAAAAAAAATGTTGCCTTTATATTCTCCATGGCAAAAATGCAGTGTATGCACACACACACACACACACACACACACACAGAGGTGCACATAATTATATATTTAAAATAATAGAAACAAAACTTAAGGAAATGTAACTTGGAAGTTATCATTGGAAAAGAGCATTATGGCATTTGCACTGCATTTTAAAATATCGCATCTTCATTCTCTCAAAATATGCTTCCTATATCTGTAAATTAAAGTGGATGCCCAGAAAAACTAAGAGAGAAAGATGGATGAATGGATGTATAGATAGATAGATAATTTTTCAAATGCAGTTCACCCTCTGTAGATCATAAGCAAAGTATGGAATTTATGCACTGTAAGGGATCCAAAAAATTTTGTGACAAGCAAGAGAGATAAGGTAGATAACTGTCATCCCTTATTTTAAGAAGACATGTCACACACACACACACCCACCCCTGTGTTATGTTGAGCCACCTGGACTCATCTGTGAGAGAGGAGGCTACTTGGGAGACATAAAGAAACCAAGATGAATGTGCAGCGCTAATAGCTGCTGACACTTGGAAGTGCTGTGCCCGAGGCTCTGGAGAAGCTGTGTATCGAAAACAAACAACAGAAGAGTAAATATATTGGTGGACAAAATTTGTTAACCATTTCAAAAAGCATTCAGAAAAGATACAGCATAAACTGAGCTCTTTGAAAGAATTCCTCTTAGGTAATTTCACGCGCCTGCTAAGACACCTTGGCCTCTTTATGTGGGGAGGCGATGTCAACATCCAAACCATCAGAAATCCTTGCTTTAAATATAAGCATGTTAGAACTTGCCAGCATAATTTTGGGTGACAGAGTGACATATTAAAGTCATTCTAGGTGACCGTTACTAATGTAGTATCCCAGAAATGCTGCTTAGAAAGCAGGAGGCAGGAAGGAACTATGTAAGAAGTCACAATAGCCAAGTCACAAAGGCTAATGATCACAGCCGCCATCATGTTACCGATACTCACAGAACACCTCTGGAATGTGATACTTTATTTAGTGTTGTGATTTCTTTATGATGAATTGTGTTTATTTAATTTTTTGTAGTTTTTTGTTTGTTTGTTTGTTTTTGGCTGGGGCTGGGTTTGAACCCACCCCCTCCAGCGTATGGGGCCAATGCCCCACTCCTTTGAGCCACAGGTACTGTCCTGAATTTGATTTTTTTTTCTCTCTAATAAAGAAGTAGTGACAACTTTAAAGTCAATCTGAGCCTTCTGCCAAATAGCTTCTATGAGAATGGAGGAATTTTTAAGAGAAGTCAAGAAGTAGCCCCCCCCCCAAAAAAAAGAGAGGGACATGTCAGAAAAACCTGCTTCTCCAATGGTCCTGTCTGGTAATAAATGCAATAAAACTAAAATGAGCCTTTAAATAAACAAAATTCTAATAATGGATAATAAGAAAGAGTCACAGGATTAGCCTCGTACAGTAAGCAGAGACAACACCTTGGAAGGCCAAAGAGAAGGGTAGGGCCTCCCACATTCCTGAAAGAAAGAATGTCTAGTTTAACAGGTGAGGAAGGAAAGACCCACTCTAGCTGTCACTCAGTTCATGCCTCGTCTGTGATCCCAAAACTGGGAGTGCACACTTTGCAGAGGGAGGCGGCCTGGGCTACGTGTCAGCTCACTTGTTTACCAGCTCTATTCCTTTAAGCAGAGCTGTTTCTTCACCTGCAAAATCGGGTGATGCTAGTCACAGAAATGAGAATTTGATAAAAATTAAATGAAATTATATGAAAAGGTACACATAATGCACTTAGAATAGTGCTCCATGCAATAACGTTATGAGTAATTAATCATTATTGAGTGACTTTTAAGAGCTCTGTGCCTATTCAGAACTTCAAGGAGAAAAATTCATCATGAACATGGATATCCTCCATAGGATCTCAGCCATCCTTTTTATTAAATAAGCAGATGTTTATAAAGATCCAAGTGGTTAAGTAAGTGGATTTTTTTTTAATTTACACATTTTCCATCATGGAAATTCCAGTAGATTTTTCTCAGTGAATGAGAACATTTTAATACTGTGAATTAGATAGAATCATTTATAATAATAAATCTGTCTCCATAAAGAGCTGAGAAAGTCTTGAATTCTTGAAATGATGCTGTTAAGGATCCATGGAACTTACGCTGTGGTTCTTGATGCTTTCAGGATAAAGTCAGTGCTTCCTAACGTTGCCTTTGCGGCTCTTCATCATCCCGGCTGCTCTCGCCCTTCACACTTCATTGGTCACTCTTTTGGCCACCTCCCATAGCTGCACGTTCCAAATACCTTCAACTCTGGCTCTCCACACACAATATTTCTGAGTTGCTTTTTCTACTATTTTACCTTTTCGTGTCTTTTCTCACATGCTAGCCATTCCATGATTAAGTATAAACATAGGTCCCTGGGTTTTAGCCATAATAAACAAATGTTAAAGATAGTTGAACCCTTACTTAACATCGAATAGTCTTACTTGTCAACTGGAGAGGCCCTATTCTAAGTGCTTTCTAGGTTCTTGTTTTTTCTTCTCAATGCTCTTTACAAGTCGGAACCTTACTCTCCCGTTTCACAGAAGAAAAAAACAAAGGCCAGGAAAGGTTATCTTATTGCCTGAGCTCATACTGCTAGCAGTGGCAAAGCTATTATTCATAGCCCCAGATTGCCTGGTCCTACAAACCAAACAGATTCTCCAGACTGTAGGTTACTTGATGGATTTCAGCTTCCCTTTCTGCTGCCCACTGGGAGGCCATTTCACTGTCCAGCCTTCCTGACCTGGTCAGAGTGAGCCACTTCTTACTTCCCAATCCCACATCATGTTGCCATATTCTAGCCTGTCTTTCACTCTGTCTAAATCAAAGACAATTGCTAGCATGTGAGTCTCTTCTGTCCTTTAATCAGTTTAACATAAATACTCATAATTGCTACCAATTACTGAGCCATTCCTATTTTCCAAGTATTACTAATCACTTATGATACACTCATTTGATCCAAAATATTTTACTTGTGAAGAGAATTAATCATAGGGAGGTCATAGGTGATTTGTTCACGGCCACACAGCATGTAAATTTAGGCCTGATTTCAAAGTCCTTGACCCATTCTGACTCTTCCTGCTGCAGAGACCCCCTAGTTCCTTGTACATAGTATGTATCTCCTCACTTCATATTCGTTGAGTAAATGGTTGTCAGATCATTCTCAGTAG